ATGGAAACCCGACTTTCATTTAAAGGACAGTAGTGGTCAGTGCTTCTACTTGGGGCATTTGGACTTTCAGAGCATCTGACAGTCCCTCAGTTTAGACTAAACCAGTTTTTGTGAAGGTTCAAGTAACTTAATTTTAAAATATTTTATACAATTCATATGTACGTGAATTCCTCCTATGGTGCAGTAGGATAAGTACTGGACTTCAAACTTCAAACTCACCAGCTGCTCCTTAGACATCCTGTTTAGGGTTGCTGTGAGGCAGAACTGACTTCATAGCACTTAGCAGCAACATCAACATAATATATAAAAAAACAGTGTATATATCTTAATAGAGTTCTGATTGAGCTCCCATAAAGAGTTACAAACCCTATACGGGGTCAGTATGATTCGCTATTGACTCGATTGCAGTGGGTACGTATATGTTATTTCTTGGGTTAGCTGGAACAAATGTGCCAAATTTAATTAACACATGTACTAAGAAAATATCCCGCCCGAATTTAGAGATCATCTTGAGAACAGATTTATGTGTTAGACAATAATGATTGAAGACTAGTGGGTGACTTCAAGAACATCGTATTGGAAGAAAGCAATAGATAGATCATTAATAAAATAGGAAAGAGAGAAAAGACCAAAATGGTTATCAGAAGAGATTTTGACATTTGCTGTCCAGCACAGAGATGCTAAAGTGAATGAAAGAATGAGAAGCTCAAAGAGCTGAACAGAAAGTTTCCAAGGCCTGCTAGGGAAGACAAAGTCAGGTACTAATAAGTACAATGTGTGAAGACCTGTCTTGTGGTCCTAAAACACTGAAGCCGATGCCTTCCTTCCCACAAACTACTTCCGATCGAGTGCCCTGTACATAGGTAACACCCAGGACAATAGGTATTCCACCTAGGGCCAAGAACTCTGATGTCACATCCCTTCCACGACCACCTTGTGAGCTCCTTGAATTGCAGACCCCCCTCCACCCTGAGATTTCTTTCCTCTGGTCCCAACAACTGTACTGTTAGTTTTTACAAATATGACAACCCCACAGTGCTCTGGAGACAACAGACAATTTTATGTCACATGAAGAAATGAGAGAGTGGCTCAAACAAACGACCAAGCTGCAGAGCCACAAAATGATTCTGAGGAATCAAAGGTAATGGAACTAGCTGAAAAAGAATTCCAAAGCATGATATTTTGATCCCTTCAGTGGATTAAAGGAAAGATCAAGGAAAGCAAGGCAAACACAAAAAAATTTAAAAGAATTTCGAAAACATAACAAGAACAGACAAAACAAATGCAAAATTTGAAGCAATATAAAGAGAGAAAAAATGGGCAACACATTGAAAGGGCAAGGGGGAAGATTTGGAGCAATGAAAGCCTGAACTAGTGAACTTCCAGAACAGGAAGACACAGTGAAAAGCACAGAGAAAATTGTTGAAGAGTTTTGGAAGAAAACTTCCCTAACATCATGAAAGACAAGCAGATAAGCATACAAGAATCTAAACGAACCTCAAACAGGATAGACTCCAAAAGAATATTATCAAATATAATCAAACTTTCTAAAATCAAAAATGAGGAAAGAATCCTGAGAGCAGAGTGGGAAAAATGAAACTACCTACGAAGGAGAACCAAGAAGACTAAACTCAGTTCTCAGCAGAAACCACGCAGGTAAGGCAATGGGATGACATAAGAAAATAATTGTCAAACAAGAATTATATACCCAGCAAAGCTGTCCCTCAAATAGCAAGGCAAAATTAGGACAGAAATTAAAAGAATTTGTAATGACCAGACCAACTTTACAAAAATGCTAACGGGTGTTCTTAGGACTGAGAACCTACAACAGCAGACCTGAGTAACTCCACCACCCAGAACTCATTCCAGGTATGTTTGTTGTTTTGTGCTACCTGCTGAGTTGGTTCCAACCCATAGCGACCCTGTATAGGGTTTCCGAAGAAGAACGACTGGTGAGCGTGAACCTCTGGCCTTGTGGTTCAAACCACTCTGCATTCCAGTGCATTAACCCATGGTGTGACGATACCAGATCTCCAATCCAGGTATTGTTGTTAAGAGCTGTCGAGTGGATTCCAACCCATAGTGACCCTGTATAGGGTTTCCAAGAAGCAGCTGGTGAGCTTGAACCACCGACCTTGCAATTCAAATGGCTTTGCAGTCTGGCGCATTAACCAAACAAACCTACAAGACTGAAAATAGGGAACCAGAGCAATCAGTGTATAATGAAGTCAACTACAGAACAAAAAGAGGGAATAGTGTAGCTCGAGAACTTCCAAGTGGTAAGAAAGTCAACTAGATTTCAAGATAGACTATTTTAAGCAGGGAAAAAAAATGAATAAATTGCAGGGTAACCTCAAAGAAAAATAATATGCTTGCATATTAAAAAAGAAGGAGAAAATCAGAAAGGTTTAGTAAACATTGACATAGCAGAAATGAAAATGCAAAGAAAACCCCACAAACGAAATAAACTCAGCATAGAAAATTCTGTGCAACAAAGAGTCCAGAAGCACAATAAAAATAACACAGAAAAGTGACAGCAATCAGTTCATGTTGTTGTTGTTAAGTGCCGTCGACTTGGTTCCGACCCATAGCGACTGTGAACAGGGTTTCCGAGGCTGTAAATCTCTATGGGAGCAGAAAGCCCATCTTTCTCCCGTGGAGCAGCTGATAGTTTCAAACTGCTGACCTTGCGGTTCACAGAGCTCCTTAGATCTATCAGTAATTACACTGAATGTAGATGGATTAAATGTACCAGTCAAGAGACTTAGCAGAACAGATAAGAAAACAGGATCCTTCAATATGCTGTCTACAAGAGACGTATCAAAAAGGTGGAGAGAGCCTAAATGTCCATTAGCAGAAGAATAGTTAAACTGGTACATAGACACAATGGAGTACTACAAAATATTGAAGAAAAATGATGACTCTGTGAAACACTTCACAGAGTCATCATGATCCTGAAGGCTATATTGACTAAGTGAAATTAGTCAATCACAAAAGGACAAATACTGTATGAAATCAGTGTTGTAAAAAGTGAAAAAAATTTTTTTTTCTCTTTGATGGTTGCGGGGCTGGGGAAACCAATATTCACATGTCAATATGGATGATGGGCAGGCAGTATACAAGAGGGGGGTCAGCAGAGGAAAGATGAAGGTAGTGGGAGACACAGGGAGGAAGGCAGTGGTTAAAGTGAACAGAGGTAAATGCTGTTAACTGTTGTTGGTACACAGAAGGCATTGTAACCATGAAGCAAAGTATATGATTTGTTGAATGTAAAACTGCCAGTCTGATCCATAAGCCTTCATTCAGTTCACTACAAAAAGTTGGAAATAATAAATATAAGCAGATTTAAGTTTGGTTGGTTAAAAAAAAAAAAGGACCAAAAAATCAAGGCTCCAGGAATTGGTGGAACACTAATTGAAATTAGCACTGGAGGTGCTTAACAAATCTCTGCCAAGAAATTTGGAAGACAACTACCTGGCCATCTGATTAGAAGAGGTCCATATTTGTGCCCATTCCAAAGAGAGGTGACCTAACAGAATGTGGAAGTCATTAAACAATACCATCAGTGTCACATGCAAGTAAAATTTTGCTGAAGATAATTACAAGATGGCTGCAGCAGTACATTGACAGGCAACTGCCAGAAATTCAAGCCAGATTCAGCAAAGGGCTTAGAACTTGATATAGCATTGCTAATGTCTGATGGATCTTGGCTGAAAGCAGAAAAATATTTACTTGTACTTTATTGACTACACAAAGGCTTTCGACTGTGTGGATCATAATCTTTGGACAACATTGTGAAAGATAGGGATTCTAGAACATTTGATTGTGCTCATGAAGAACCTGTACATAGAACAAGAGGCAGTGGTTTGAACAGAACAAGGGCATACTAAATGGTTTAAAATCAGGAAAGTTGTGTGCCTGGATTGTATTCTTTCACCATAGTTATTCAGTCTATGTGCTAAACAGATATTCCTAGAAGCTGGATTATTTGAGGAAGAATGGGCCATTAAGATTGGGGGAAGACTCATTAACAACCTTTGATGTGGAGATGACACAGTCTTGCTTGCTGAAAGTGAAAGAACTTAACTACTTAAAGTGTTGAAGAACAGTGATACCAGCTTGAAGACTAAGGTGTGTCTGACCCAAGCCGTGGTATTTTCAGTAGCTTCTATATGCATGTACTAGTTGGACAGTGAATAAGGAAGACTGTAGATGAATCAGTGCATTTGAATTCATGCCATGAAGATCAGCTCTACTTTGAAGAGACAGGTCTTTCTGCCCAGTTGTATTTTGAGTGCCTTGGATCCTGAGGGTTTCTCCAGCACTACACCTGACAGTGTTCTGCTTTTTATAAGGTTTTCGTTGACTAAGCATTTGGAAGGGCTCTCTCTCTCCTTCTTAGTCTGTCTTAGTGTGGAAGCTCTTTTGAAATCTGTACACCCTGGTGGATCCTGCTGGTATTTAAGATACTAGTGGCCTGGTTTCCAGTATCACAGCAACACATAAGCCATGAGAGTATGAGAAACTTGGTTGAGTGGTAGATCAAGTTATGTTTGTGTTTATGTTATTTGCTCCATTATCTGTGGGCTTTTCCCATAGTAATCCAGAGGCTCAGTTCCTTTTGTATTGGTAAAATAGCAGTTTTGTAGTTTTTAAAAAAATTACTTTATGAATATAATGGATTTGGCCTGTGTAGACAAGGAAAATTTCTCGAAGTTCCCTATATTCTGATTGCATTTCTGTTATCTGTTGGATCTAGATTGTCATTTGTGAACTATTGAAGTGTGTGGGTAGGGCTTGTTTTCTGTTTGGTCTTTTGCTTTGTTTACTTTTTGCTGTATGTCAAGGAAGTGTGTTTGTTAAGTACAAGGAGTTTTGGGTGTGGTGTGGAACCAGCCTTGCTGAGAAAGGCATTTTGCTAAAGCAGTTTTTCCAGTAATGCCCATTTGTTTTGAAATCATGGACTTTGTTTGACAGCACATTTCTCTGTCTGTTTGCAGTCCAGTTACGACGCAGGGACCACAGCAGAGCCGGCCGCCCCAGAAGCACTATGGTATCACCTCTCCCATCAGCCTAGCAGCACCCAAGGAGACGGACTGCTCGCTCACACAGAGGCTTGTGGAAACTCTGAAGCCTTTTGGGGTGTTTGAAGAGGAGGAAGAACTGCAGCGCAGGTAAATTGGCATGTGTGTGTGAAAAACATACTTAATAATTTGTGATGAATGTTGAAATAAACCGATTTTGTGATTTTTTTTTTTTTTTTAACTTATTCAGATAGAAGGCCAGAGTTATTCTTCCTAACCAATGTTTCCAATAGGAGTGATAATTAGAGGGATGAAAATGTGATGGTGTGGGGCGTTGGACCCCCTTGCCCAACTTTACATGTGGTGAGGAGACTCACCCTTAGCGTCATCGACCCAGGGCTGATTCCCTTGAGGTAGAGGTTAGACATGCCTTCTCCCTGCAACCTTTTTACCAATTCTGATGCCAGCTGTCCCCGCACAGTGCTCTTGACCTTTTTGCTGGGTTCCAGAATTTTCCTTGTACACTCACAGAATAGGGTTTCTTAGGGAAGTCAAGCGTCGATGGACTCAAGCATGGTAGCAATAGTGAGGTTAGCCCAGGATCGGGCAGTGTTTCATTCTGCTATGCATAATAAGGTCGCTATGGGTCAGTACCGACTCGATGGCACCTAACAACAACAACAGGTTACAATTTAAGATCAGGAAGAAGGCAGGATACAGTTTTGGATCAGGACAGCCTTTTCTCAGCTATGTCTGTGGGTAGGCCCCTCCCCTTGGAGGTAGCCCACTCTGGAAGGCATGGGATGCTCTTGCTCTGTGTAGCCTACCAGCCTAGCTGGGTTAAGTACTGGGAGGCACCCTGCTGGGTCTGAAGCCTCCTGCCTAAAGTTGCTTACCTACTTCAGGACCACGAAATGTACACCAGGCTTATTCCTGCTAGTCTCCTGGTTATGCTGACACCGTTGGTTACCGTCTTGTGCGTCTCTGGTGTTAGAGAGAGAAAGCTCTCTCTTTCTGTCTCCTAGGTCTAGGATTTTCTCACAAGAGGGCCCCCAATCCAAAGGATGGGTTCCATTTCTAGTTCTTTTTCTTTGTGGTGGTGAGAATTTCCATCTGCACCTCTGGGGGACAGTTCATTTTAAGCCTAGCAGGATGACAGAACTGATCTGGTTCCCTCAGTAGGGTTCCTTGTACCTTATTTGCATGGTGCCCACAAGGGCACTCACTAGACACCTAATTTGCTTTATTAGTAAACTGATCAATCCCATCCGTGGGTCACAAACAACTTTGTTTGACTAAGTTACAAAGACCATGGCTAGAAGGGCCATATAAGAAACTGCAGGGGAAGCTTAGTTTTTCCACAGAATTTTGGTGGTTATGTTTTGATTTTTGATGATTGATTATTATAGAATAGAATTATCAAGAGCCAGGAGCCTAGCTTTAGGCATGCCTTCCCCACACACTAGCCTATGTAAGAAGCTAGCTTCTACTCTGTACATCCACTCCTCTTTTAGCACCTTGGTTAGGGTCCAAAGGCCAGGTGTGGAAATGGAGGAGGACCATGTCATGACGTCAAGGCCACACCACTGAGAACCCCGGACCAGCTGAGTTGACACGTGGCCTTCACCATCACAGCCAGCTTTCTTCTCGTCTCATACCGCAGTACTCAGTACTGCCAGGCACGCATTGTTCGTGTGCGGAATAGTTGGGTTTAGAGTTTTATTGCTACGCTTAACTGTGAAATGTCTTATAGTGAGGTTGTCCGTAAGTACGTGAGGAACAGGTGTTCTCTTCCTGGTAAGTTAAAAAAATTGAGGAAGCCACATATTTAAAACGTTTCTCATTTTAATCAGTAATGATATGGAATACGAACAACTTAATTCTTGATTGATACTTGTTTTATCTACAGGATTTTAATTTTGGGAAAATTAAATAACCTGGTTAAAGAGTGGATACGAGAAATCAGTGAAAGCAAGGTAGGTGACTTGTTGCACACAAACCCTTAGTCACAGGTAGCCAGGTGGGCCCAGCGGTTGTCTGCAGAATGTAGCCGTATGCCAAGGCTCCCCCATATGCTGTCCGCTTGCGACTACTGATGTGCTGTGCAGCCCAGTTGGTTCTGACTAAGTCACTCTGTATAGGGTTTTCGCAAGTAGGTAGTGGGTTTGAACTTGCCAAACGGCCCACTTTTGCAGTTACCAGTCCAGTGCTTATTCTACAGTTCCACACCAGCAGATTTTATATTTTGTTCCTCGTTATTTGAGAAGCAGGAAAAGCAGCACTAGAATTCATGATTTTATACTTACTTTCTGGTTGGGACATTTCAAAGCGTCAACTACTTCCGCAAGTCACAAAAATAACAGATAATTTACTTAAAAGGTGCGTGAAAACCTGTTAATGTATTTGAGATTCTTGTTACCCTTTAAGGAACTCTACAACAATATGAAATTTTTATTTAAGGATTTCAGGTGTTAGATTCTCAAACTGACTATCTCTGTTTTTTGTAATGATATTTTATAAGTCAGCTTGAATCACAAAGTCAGCGCTTCACACCCATCAGCTGCTTCATGGAAACCCTGTACATGGTCCTTTTGAGTCAGAACCAACTTAACGGCACTTAACAACAGCAACACGACCATATTAGAATATTCATATTCTCAACGGACAAACCCTAATACTGTGATTGCTGTTGTTAAGGGTCCCCCTGCACAACAGAATGAAACAGGCTGGTCCCACGTGATCCTAACAGTTGTTATGTGTGAGCCCTTTGTTACAGTTACTGTATCAGTCCGTCTTGTTGGGGATCTTCCTCTTTTTCTACTTTGCCAAGCATGATGTCATCCTCCAGCACCTGGTCCTTCCTGTCAACATGTACAGAGTATGAGAGGCAATGCTGCCATTCTTGCTTCTCAGGAGCACTGGCTGTACTTCTTCCAAAACAGATTTGCTTTGTTATTCTGGTAGTCCATGGTACTTTCAGTATTCTTCTTTAACACCATACATCAATTTGTTTGTGATCTTCTTACCAATAGTCCAACATTTACATGCGTATGAGGTTATTGAAAATACCATGGTATGGGTCAGGTGCACCTTAGTCCTCAGACTGACATCTTTGCTCTTCAACACCTTAAAGAGGTCGTGTGCAGCAGATTAGCCTAGTGCTGTATATTGTTTAATTTCCTGAATGCAGCTTCTATAAGGGTTGATTATGGATCCAGTAAAGTGAATTTCCTTGACAGCTTCCATCTTTTCTCCTATTATCATGAAGTTGTCTGGATGTTGTTTTCTTCACGTTGAGCTGTAACCCAGTGTATGCAGGGTCCTAGCAAAGGGGAGGAAAGAGAACCAGGGGTGGGGGGTTAGGGTACCAACTTAGAAGGACAGTAAGTGAAAATCTTTTCATTCAGTCAAACTTACATTGTTCATGGAGTCCTGGTGTGGCACTTGACTGGAAGGTCAGTTTGAGCTGCAAGGTCGGCGGTTCAGAATCACCAGCTGCTCCTTAGAAACCTTATATACAGGGTCACTATGAGCTGGAATCGACTCGATGGTTCTTAACAACAATATTGTTCAAACAGTGTCTACATATTTTCAACACTAGAGTAATGGTGGTCTTATAAATTTGGGGTTCTGTGTATTGGGGGTGACCTGACAGCAGTGGAGTTTTGGTTTATGTACTGATTGTTTTTCTTGATAAGTTTCAGGTACAGAATCAGGTCTTTGAAAATGAAGCTGAGCACAAGATGGCAAAGTACCCTTTTTAAAAAAGACCAAGTTGTTAGAAAACATGACCTCTCATATTGTGATATTTTTTAATCACCTTTTTTTAGGGAGCCTTTTTTACCCAGGTGGCTTGTTTTAGGATTCAGTTCAGTGTCTCTTGATGGTGGGCTCATTGGCATTTTGGGTTAGGTGATTGTTTTGAGGAAGTTCCGCAGAAGAGCTGACCTCTACCTGCTAGCCCTGCCTCGCCCCCATAGTCTACCCTGAGGGGCAGACTGTTGCTGGTTGAGTGCTATTGATAAGAGAAAACTCACATAAAAATTCTGCTTTTTTGGCCATCTCATACTTTAAGACTTAAAGAATTTCACAATTAAAAGTGTTTTTCCTGTGACTTGAATGGAGAATTTCATTTCTGGGTTACAGTGCTCCTCACAGACACGGACATAGTCATGTCTGGAGCTGCACTGTGGGAGCCACTAGCTACATAGATTGTGGGGACACCAACTTAATGAACTGCCGAGTGACCCCAGTAGCTTCTCTGTTTTCCCGCCATGTTTCACGTATTGCATCAGCGCCCTGGCTTGAGGTGCAGTTCCAGGCTGGCCGGAGATTGTCTCACTGGAGCCATCTGGGGAGCAGTGTCCACAGCGCCCTCTAGACAGATTCAGCTGGCTTCACTCTAGTAACCAGCCAACATTATGTTTGAGTTTTTAAATAGCTATATATAGAAAGATAAAAAGGCTTGCTAATTTGCAGAACACACATAAGTTGTCTTAGTTATTGTAAATGCACCCTTAAAAACGGGAGCCTCTGAATCTTTAGAACTTGCTTTTAGGACCTGTCAATATGAAACAGAACTTCAGTTATACATCCTCCCTACCGGGCCCGAAAGGAGCTTTGGTATCGTAGTGGGTTATGAGTTGGGCTGCGAACTATAAGGGCAGTAGTTTGACTCTACCGGCCACTTTTGGGAGAAAGATGACACTTTCTGCTCTCTTAAAGATTTACAATCTTGGAAAACCTGTACAGGGGCCACACTATGAGTTTTAACTGACTCCGTGGTACATAAGCAACCACACCAGTGTGTTTGAGGGTCTTTTCTGTTTGTCCTGGTATCGAATAGTATATGAAACTAGACTGGGAAATAAGAAAGTAGAGAGAATTGTTGAACTCAGAAAAATTGGTGTTTGGACAGACATCATGAAGGCCCTCGGTACTCTCTGTCAGTGCCCCAGTCCCGAGGTTCTACCCCCTCTAGGTGAGAGGTACTCCTCCTAAAGTCTTTCAGAAAGCCAAAAATGAAAGCACTGCTTGTCACTCTCAGTTTTTTATCCTGTAGTATAATTTGACTCCAGTGTGCTGGTTGGTGTCTTCGAATTTGGTCTTGCCAATGATCACAGTGACTGTCTGAGTCAGGAATAGTGTCCCTGTTCTGATGCTGCCCTGTGGGAGGACAGTCTTTGGAAGTTTCCAGAGATGTGGCAAGCCTTTACATTTGCTTCCCTCAGAACACTTCATTACAGCTAGAAAATGGCTTGAATTTCAAGTTAAGTTCATTATGAAGGCCTGTTATTTTATAAAGCGTATAGTTTGAATGTTGCCACTATCTGGATTCGTGTGAGAATGTGTGTTGGGTTTTAGAGAAGTACTGTATGTACCATTTGCAACAATTTTCCTTGTGTGTCACTGGCAAAATAACCATCTCTTGTTTATTTCAATAGAATCTTCCACAGTCCGTAATTGAAAATGTTGGAGGAAAAATTTTTACATTTGGATCTTACAGATTAGGAGTACACACAAAAGGTAAATATGCTGTTTGATATTCCTTGGGAAGGGGTCCTTTTTTATTTCTAAAAATTCATGAAGAATCTTAACTACTTGTGCTGAGGTTTTGCCTGGAAGAGAAAACCTCAAGGAGTGAGGATTGAGTCAGAAGAAAGGTTGAGCACAGTGCTTGCTCTTACAAGTATACAAAGGAATTCAGATTGAAGATTGGGGTTCTCAGTAGAAGCAGATACGTGTGGTTACTGGTTGCCATATCGAACACTGCAGATGTTTGACACTCCCTTTCCCCTCCCCCCATGCAGAGAATTCTGTTGGACAAATCTGTTTCCTGGGGCATTTCCTTCCTGTGGAGAATGCTGCTGATACGTCAAAAGCTTTTAAACAGTCTAGTGGTTTTTCTTTTTCCTTATTTTCATTATAGACAGGTTATAACTCAACAAAAGGCCAAATAAGCTATTGATAATTGCTGCTGGCGCCGTGGACTAATGCGTCAGACTGCGGTTCAAGCTCACCAGCTGCTCCTCGGAAACCCTGTATAGTGTTGCTATGGGTCGGAATCGACAGCACTTAACATCAACAACATTCTCTACTTTATTCTTGTAGTCCTTGCCTCTGTGCAAATAAACACACGATAAAAATACTGTCCTGGCAAAGAGCACTTACTGGGTGCTTTCCTTGTACTGGGCACAGGGTCAGTCCCTACAAACTCTTTCCCCGTATAACCAGTAAGGAGTCTCAGCTGGAACACTTGGTCCACGTCATTTCTTGGCAGAAGCAGGTTCTAACCCAGGCCGTCTGAGGCCACCTCTGTCAGTTGTGTGATTGCTCTGTAGTGCTGGGCTAATGCTGTGGAAGAGGCATTTGTGCCTGTCATCAAACTGTGTTTTGATGGGATAGAGGTGAGGCGTGGTTCTCTTTGACATATCTTACTATTTGTTCTGGCGTACCTCCATGACCACCATCTGGTGCCCGCCCATTCTGCATTTGTGCTTGACACAGGCTGTGCTTACATGGACATGAAGGAGGCTTCAGAGGAGGACCTTTGTGCCCACTTGCAAGAGGGGGGACCTTATGGGTCTGGCTCTGGTTTGTAGTATCCCTATATAGTCACTGATGACTTTGGCTGAAACACATTGCCAGAAAAAATGTGTCTGGATTCAGGTCCATTTAGTCATGAACTAAACTTTGGAAGTATATTCTTGAAATATATTGTCTGAAGTTTATTTGGTAGGTTAGGTAGGAACCTGTGTGGAGAGAGATTATTATAGAACCTGACTTTCCTCTTTAATAAAAAGGAAAGATTACAGTATTTTGTTACTGAAATGAGGAACCATGGGTATGACTTCAGGACATTAAGATGTGGGGCGGGGGCATGAACCATCTGTCTGGTCACCTATCTCTGATGCTGCAGTACCCTAACCCTACCCCCCCCCCCCAAAATCATTCAGAACTATATTTTCCCTAGACTGAGTCAGTTTTTGAGGGGGTGTAAGTGCATTTTCAGAGGCTCACCAGAATCATGTTACCATCTTCTCAGCATATCATACACAGTAATTTGTATGATATTTGTATGTATGTATATAATTTTCTTGTCATATGGATAAGTGATTGATTGGCCTCCTCTTTTAGGTGCTGATATTGATGCGCTGTGTGTTGCCCCCAGACACGTTGATCGAAGTGACTTTTTCACCTCCTTCTATGATAAATTGAAATTACAAGAAGAAGTAAAGGATTTAAGAGTGAGTAAATGGTGAAAGGAGTGGAGTTAAGCCCATTGAGTGAGTTTTATGATCTAGCCATTGTTTCCAGAACCCTTTCAACATGTTAATGCCTATGTTTGAATTTTGTTCTTTATTGTAAGCATAAAAGCATAAATCTATAATCTCATTTACAGATTAGGAAACTCTGAGGCTCAGAGAAAATACGGATTAATCCATTTGTTCCTAATCACCAAAGCTTGGCCCTGGGTGTGTCTGATTCTAGAGCCTAGTGTTTCCATATTACATGTCAGGTGCTGCTGCTTTTTTCACTGTCTAATGTGATGAAGATCACATTCATGACCTAGATCACTCATGCTAGGTGGGGTCTGACTGCACTGCTGCCTGGCTGACGTTGTGACTTCTCTTTCAGGCTGTGGAAGAGGCATTTGTGCCTGTCATCAAACTGTGTTTTGATGGGATAGAGGTGAGGCGTGGTTCTCTTTGACATATCTTATTGTATGGCTCCACCGATTTTTATTGCGATTAAAAGCATAAATATTTTTTTTATAACATTTTATAGTGAGTGAATTGGTTGTGATTTTTCTTTTTTTAAATTTAAGGTTTTTATTGTGGATTGAGTGAAAGTTTACAGGGCACATCATCAGTTTCACATTCAACAATTCATATAACTTGTTTCATT